AATATTTCAACGAGCCTCCTGGTACCTCACACATGAGCCCACACATGTTTGGATCAAACAAAGGGAGGGGGGGGGAGAAATCTGGGTCGCCGTGAGCTCAGGGGCATAAAGGCTAACCTCCCCTCTGATTTCCGTGACACTGATCGGGGCTGACTCGAGCGCCATCGCAGAGTCCAAATTCCACTCCTGTCTCGAGGAGTGAGGATCAATCTTCATCGAACCGGTTGACGTAACAAGGTGGAAAGGCAGGGGAGTGGATTTTTAACCACACGCATCAAGATGTCACTTAAAAAGAGAAGCAGCTACGGGGAGCCTGGTTTTAGCCTTAGCTCTGATGGCCCTCTGGATGTCAAATTATTTATTTATTTATTTATTTATTTATTTATTTATTTATTTATTTATTTATTTATTTATTTATTTATTTATTTTCCTTTTTTTTCCTTTTTTTATTTATTTTTCCTTTTTTTTCCCTTTTTTTCTTCTTTTTTATTTTCTTAATTTGGTGATCACATTTAGGAAAAGTGGCATAATAACTTCTGCCGCATTGAGCTCTCATCACAGAATTTCCGAATAGAAAAATCTTATTCAACACACACAAAAGAAACACACACAGGTTTGACTGGCATTCAAATCCACTGTCAATGCCTTGGTCTGACATGAAAGCACGTTCGGAATATTACTTTAAAATCTACGACGGATGTTATGGAAAAAATGAATTATTTACGACGGCATCAACAGGAATACAGTGATTTTTTTTTTAAACGGCTTGATTCGCCATGAGACCTGTCTGAGCTTTTCAACGCAGGCCTTCCACAGCAATGCTGTTCTGTCAACCCAGTCATGGGACAAATTCATGTAAATTATGGACCGATTCGTGTCCACAGACATGCTCGGGTTTGCTTGAGTTTCATGCCGTCTCACACAGAAATAACTCCACAGGGTAATAGTTTCACAGCTCTTATAAATGATCATACACTGACTATTGTGTCACATTTAACACCAAAACAGAAACAGAAGTGGGATAAGTTGGAAAAAGATGTCAAATAACTTTACCCAGATCTGCCATTTCTACTTTCATTGTCTGTTTTATTCTGTAATTTTTATTTGCAATGTTGTTTTAAGTGTTTAAGTGTGATTTTCTCTCCTGATATAACCGTATATAACTTAAATGAATGTTCATAACACTGTCTAACATATTGGGTGTTTTTCACCTGATACAATATATCTCCCAAAACAGTAGTTAATGGTATTAAACACACCATTAAACACAATAATAAATGGCAACTTGAAGCGTTTTCTTTTATTTCCAGCTATACATCACCACAAATAACAAAAAAAAGGTAGCATGGGGAAATCCTGTAGAAAGGCAGCCTGAAACTAAAGACCTGTGCAACTCAGACAGCAGTAAAAATCATATAACCACAACTGTATGGCTGAAAATCACTCAGTTTTGTGTTTGAGGGCTCTGGTTAGATATTAATGAGAGGATTATGGTTCACAAAACACCATGGTCTGCATTAATGTAACCCATCAAATAACAAATACTGTTGAGTTGCACAACCTCGACTAAACAATCAACACATGAGCCATATGTCCTATTTGAATACATTATGTAGAGAGGCCATGCTGGATGGCACATAAAAAAAAAATTTTTTACTTTTATGAGTGTGCATAATAGAATTTTTCAATTATGTTAAAAATTTCCAACCAGCCTTTTTTTTTATAACCTTGGCTTTCTGGCTACATGCTTTTTCACTTATTAGATTTTTACTGAAGCCAGTGGAGATTGGATGTCATTAAGGCCAGAAAAATTCACAATAAGACACTAAAATGCTTTGTGAAGCTGAACCTGATCTTCACAGTGACCTCTTCCTTTCAGTAACATAAAGCATAGTCATTCAAAATAGTGGGCTGCACAGATTTAAATGGAACTCTCAGGAACAAACATACTGTGGAGTCAAGTTAGGGTACAAATATTCCAGTTGTTTTCACGTTATGATTCAAAGAAGGTGCAGAACATTTTCGGTCTTGAACACTTTTTGTTAGAGATCCACTCTCCTGACTATAGGAGCACCTGTCTAGACAGTGCTGGAGTCAGAATATGATCTAGAAATTACACCAAAGTAATGACTCTTTTCTGTACGGCATGTTGAGAAAAGCAGATTGGGTTCCCCGCTGGGTTGATCATTACTGTATACATCTGACCGTTTTTACAAAACCAAGGATAAGAGGAAAGCAGCATACTATGTAGATGAAAAAAAGAAAAATGGAAAATCTTTGCCAGTTATTTGAAGTGAGTGCTACAGACACTTGAGTTGCCACATGTAACTGCTCCGGAACACCCCCGAAAAACATTTAAGGGTCTCAGAGCATGATAAAATAAAACTAATAAAATTTGCTACATGTTTAAAAACATTTTCTTGTTTTTTTTAAGCAAAACTGAAGGGAATCACCTCTTTAACAGTTATTCAAATGCACTTCGCAACAGAACAAGTGTGTTCTTCTAACTCCCAAAACGACTTTTTTTTTAGGGTTTACACTTAAGAAGAGCACAACACATATGTAGAATATCATACAAATGATGTTCTGTAAGGGGGGGTTGCACAGGACTACAGAGAGACAAGTGTGGAACAGAGCTTCACCTGGAGGTTGAAGAAATTGCATGACTGACATGTTTAAAAAAATATATTATCCTCCACAGTATGAGACAGATGTTCAACAGCAACTGGGTTAGCTATGATAATCAGAATGCATGCTGGGTCCGTGAGAATAGCCACCATAGCCTCTAACAGCTTATCAAATCAGGAGTGAATCTCCCTCTCTACCCAATTTAAAGAGTCCACCCACGTTTATATGATCCCTGTGAGCCTTGCTGCGCTAATTTCCCGACGAAAAAGCCAAATTTCCATATGAAAACTGAAAAAAGAACACCACTTACAGATGAGACATAACTGCCCCCCCCACCCACCCACCCGAAGACAACGTATTTTTCTGCTTTATGCTAAAACCCCAGGAAGTGGATAACTACTTTACCAAACTCACAGAGCACAGACTCACATAAATGCTATCATAATGTACTGACAAAAAGAAAAACCTGTTAAAAATGTAAGCATATGGGAATGCGAGGACGTTTGCTTGTCCTCTCTATATATAAGAAGGGTCTGTGAGGGTCTGTCCCACTGCCCTACTTCCATTCTTCAGAATTCCCTCAGTCGAGGGGGGATCCAAGTTTATTGCAGGTGTTTTGGGGCCGCTCGTATCAGAGTCCTCCACGTGAGGCTCCAGGAAAGCCACCCTCTTTCCGTTGGACCTCCGCTGTCCGGACTCCACCTCCCTGGGGTCCGAGCAGAGGAGAATGGCCCGCCCGCCGCACCCCCCGTCCCTGCTCTCCCGACACCGGCAGGGGGTGAGGTAGAGGTACAGCAGCACTAGCACTATGCTGATCACGCACGAAGCCAGGGTGGTGAAGGCGGTGTTGAAGTGCTCCGAGCTGCTCCGGTGGGCCAGGCCGCTGGTGGGGGAGACGCTGGAGTTTCCAATTACCACCCTGACCTCCAGAGAGTCCCTGGGCTCCCGGTAGTGCCCCCGGGCCACCACGCACTCGTAGGTGCCCGAATCTTCAATTAAAGCGTCTTGGATTTCGAGGGTGCCGTTGGGAAGAACTGATAAGTGAGAGCTCAGATCGCTGGTGGACGAATTTACGATCGATCTGGGAGTAACCCAGAAAACAACCTGCCCTTCCGGAATGGGTATCGTCAGCCCCGGGCACGGCACTCTGAGCCACTCGCCGGGCTCGGTTTGATAGGTCCGCGCCTCAGGGGGAATGTCCGAAACCCTCTGACTTGTGCAATTACCCTCCAGTTCTCCTTGGTCTCTACATGGATATTCGCCTCGGAAATCTATCAGAGGACGGTGCTGTTTCAAAGCCCAGTACTCCAGCAAGGCCGCAAGGGCACAGTCGCAGACCAGTGGGTTTTGCTGCAAATAAATCCCTCCTCTGTGGGTCAGAGACAGCAGGTTCTGGACGGGCACCGTGGAAAGTCTGTTGTGTGACAGGTCGAGGAAGGTGAGATTACGAGGCCCGCGGGACTCCTCGTAAAGCTCCAGGGGGAAGGCCGTGAGCCTGTTTGCGGAAAGATACAGCCTCTGGAGGCTAGTCAGGTCGCCAAAGGCCCCCGGCTCTATCTGAGCGATCTGGTTGTCGATCAGCAGCAACTCTCTCAGTTCCCTCAGTCCGGCGAAGACGGACGTATTCAGCTCCGTCAGCCGGTTGGACGAGAGGTCCAGGTGGAGGAGGTGAGGTGTCACGGCGAAGGTTGCCTCCTCTATTTGGCTAATGGAGTTCTTGCTGAGGACGAGCGTCGAGAGCCGGTCAAACGGCCGGGAAATCCAATCAGCGCGCAGGGCACGGAGGGCGTTGTGGCTCAGGTCCAGCCGGGTGGCGTAGCCGGGCAGAGCGGAGGGCGGCGAGGACAGATTGCGGCCGCTGCAGGAAACGATGTCGCTGGCGCAAAGGCAGCAGGGCGGGCAAGCGGCCACGGCAGGAAGGAGGCCAAGACACAGGAGCAGCAGCATAGCTGCGGCGGCGGGGGGGTTGATCCAACCACCTCCGACATGGGTTCTGCCTAAAAGCTGCGACCCAACCACACGCATCCTGGTTTATCCCTCGAGGTGGGACCTCAAGTCACCGTCTCAGAAGGTGCACACATGTCACGTCTACAAGCTGAGAAAGACAGGAAACAAGGGAAAAGAGGACAAAAGAAGTAATCATTTTTGTTTTAGGGTTAGGGTTAATATTCAGGTTATGTATATTTTTCCCAGTTTCATTACGTTTGACCAACTCGGAATCACAACTCATTTTAAAGGGTAGGGCAGGCCTTAAGACATCACACAATAAGAATAGTGAGTGAAAACATGTCCGTGGATACACCAAATAATTTGGACGATATGATGTGTCCAGTAGGGCGGCACGGTGGTGTGGTGGTCAGCACCATCGCCTCACAGTGAGAAGGTCCAGGGTTCAAGTCCCCCGTTGGAGCCAGGACCTTTCTGTGTGGAGTTTAAATTCTAAATTGCCCTTAGGTGTGAGCAGTTGTGTGGTTGTTGGTCCTTGTGTGTCTCTGCGATGGACTAGCGGACTGTCCAGTAGTTGCCCAATGACCACTGGGTTAGGCTCCAGTCCCCCCATGACCCCATTAGGGAATAAGCAGTTACGATAATGGATGGATTTGTCCAGTTCCACTCATACCAAACTAGAACTGTTGTCTGTCCATTTGAGATATAAACACTGCAACCCTGCTGAGAATCGTATGCAACATGGGGATTTTTTACAGGGTTTATTCCATATAACTCCAAGAGATGAAATGACAAGATGGAGCACACCTCGGCCAGATCACCAGGAAAGGGGCAGTCAAGAACCATTTATGCCCACATGAACTCCTACGGTTAGTTTTGAATCACCAGCTAATAGACTAGGTCCCCCCTGGCTTAAATCATCCAAACCTGGGCATACCTTGCCTTGCCTTACAGCAGGGATCATTCTTACCATGAGATGGCAGCCATTTCTGTACCTTAAAGGGTACTTTTCAGGGCAAAATCCACCTTCGGTCGTAGAAATAAAGCCCTTTTTTGTGTATCAGTGTGTGTGTATCAGTGGTGGTTTCTGTTATCTCCGGCACAACAACTGTGGGAACAAGTGTAACTGGATCCACGTCAGTGGAAATACCCCCAGCCCAATTTTCCAACAACACAAAGTCTTTTTACTCCATGCTTAAACCATCTTTTTTCATTCCTAGCACATTTTATGCACATTTTATTCAAGTTTTCACCGTTTTACTTCAACATATCATTTGTTTGACTCATTCATTACTTTCAGTATAAAGACTTCTCATATTTGCTTTTTGTTCCCTGTTTGACTTTCTATTGACAGCATAATGAGGTTATTTCATTTTCATTTTCTCATATTAATCAAAAGGGTAAGCTGATAAAAAAAAGAAGGCAGAGAAAAACTAATTAAATTAAGTCTAGATTTACTTAAGAGAGAACCATTTCTTATCATCGCTAAACGTATTCATCTCATTTGTACACAATTTCTATTTCCAGTGTGAGGATTTGTTCCACTTTGATATATTTGAGATTCCTACAGTAGGTTGGACAAAGCGAGGGGTCACATTGGGCTCTGGAAAATTCCGGTCATCCCTTTTTGGATTATAAGATCAGATCGACTAATCAAATAAAGTCATTTTAGAGGCGAGCCATTTCTTTATCAACTTTGAATATTTACTCAGTTTTCAGACATACTTTTTCCTCAAACTCACGCCCAAAACATTCTGTTCGGCTCATATTCCACATCATTACCCCCCCACACACACACACACCCCACCCCCCACCCCTACTTCTAATAATAAAGACTTTTACAGACAGTTAGTTTCAACTCCTCATATACAAGTTATCAAATATTGTAAAAGTCATTAACCAAATCATTGATCCATGATCCACTGTGTCTGGGGGGGGGGGGGGGGTCCAACTCCTCTCTGCCCTCTTCCTGCTTTCTTTGTGCCTCAGCAGTGGCATCAACCAGCGGTCGACTAGTTGTGCGCGACCACACGCACGGCGTAAAACGCGCAACTCACCTTTGGCGTCCAGGCTGCTGTCTGGTCAGATCACTGACCGGTGCGCCCCTCGAGTCCGGACGCACTCCGCGGGCTGAGGGGGGGTGGGGGGTGGGGGGGGGGGGGTGCCCTTAAAAAAAACCCCGAAAGCAGGGCGCATAGCCTCCCGTGGATGATCCGTGGATGATCCGTGGAGAAAGGCGGAAGAAAAGAGAGAGGGGATACCGCTCACCTGCGGGGTCCAGCTGCCCAGTGTGGGAGGGGTCACTCACCCCCCCAGCCCAGAGAAGCCGAGCAGCGGCCAGCCGATCCGCCAATGATCCGAGAGTGGATGATGCCGGGGAGGAAGAGGAGGAGGAGGAGGAAGAGGCAGACGGTGTGGCGCAGCATCAGCAACACACAGCGGACCACCTCTGTCTCCCCTCAACTCCGAGTTAAGGGGGCTGAGAGTCCATTAAAAAGCCCCCCAATCACCGGATAGGACCAGATGTTCCATCCGTTTTTTTGTTTGTTAGGATCTTAGGTTCTGTAGGGAAAAGTGATGGCGTGGTTTTTTTAATTGGAAACTAAATTGTTCTTCCCCTTGAGCGCACATTCAAGGCGCACAACATTAAATGATCGTGATCATCCAATCCTGTTGGATTGGGTTTAGGAGTCCTATCTGCATGCAGCTCACAGGCTCTGTTTGGACAAACAGAAGCTTTTCTGAAGAGCAAACTAAAAGGGAAAGCCGTTCAGAACAAATTTTTGAGCACATAAACCACTCAAAACCTGGAAATGATCGATTAGAGCTAAAGCAAAATGGTGAATAATTCCACTAACTTTGCATCTGTATTTTTTTTCTATTAGTTTCAACGTCCCTGTGTTCTTAAAGCAAAATAGGGCCAAAACACTACTTTGAGTCATTTAAATTCCCCAAATCTTTTAAGCAATTTATTGTCATCTTTTTATTTATTCAAATGTTTCATAATCCTGCTAATTCTGTTTCAAACAGACAGTTTTTATTGTCCCACAACCTGTGTGCACATGTGAGGGTTTTGCATAGACCAGCCAAGGAGACGTAAAATAATTTCCAAAAATACTCTTAATTTATTACAAAAAATGTCCAAAATAATTCAAAAATGACAAATTGGGCCCAAAAACTGAGGTCACCATAACAAAATGTAACTCAAGTGGTAACAAAAGAAACTCCAGCACAAACTGACATTTCAGGCAAGTTTGGTTTGTTGGAACCATGACAGAAACCAAAGAAGAAATGAGACAAAAGCTCAGAGTAAAAGATTAGCCTCAAGTTCGGGACCATTTTCTAACAGGAGAAAAATAAAACACGACAACATTTTGATGTGAATCGCTATGCTGGTTATTTTATAACACTGTTTCCCAGCCCTGGCCCCGCATGTTCAACGCTCTCCTGATTAGAATAAATAGGACGGCTCCTCGGCTCCTAAAGCTCTGAGAAGGCTGCTGAAAACCCGTTCATGTGAATCAGAAGTGCTGGAGCAGGGACACTTTAACATCGTGCAGGGCTGGGGGTCTTAAGGTTTTTTTTTAAACACTGTTTTTTGTTCCTGCCTAACAGGAACAAAAGTAGCAGGGGCCTGGGGGAGTTTTTTTCATAGTTATCCCCTTTTTTTCCCCTAAATGGCTTGTATCTATTATGTTGGATAGAAAATGTCCAATTAGAAATAATTGCATTGATGCTGATGAAAGCTAAATCTATCCAAGAGGTTTTGTGTTTCAGATAAAGGCCGAGATATCCCCAATTGGACAGCTACTTACCATAATGCATTGCACCGAAACAGAAAAGTTTTGATAATGAAATGTGTATCAAACAGAAATGAAGAAGTCACATACTTATTACTCTGTGCTTACATTGTGTTTATCTTTTTCTTATCGTTTTCCTTCGACAGTCTCTAAGCCATAAGCACTGCTAATCGATGTGGCTATTGGATGGGAATTACCCCGCCAAGGAAGAAACAACTGAACTTTTCAGTTTTTCTTTTGACTTCCAGATGGGGGAGAGAAAGATTTTTGGACCAAGTTGGTTTTTGTCCGACCACAGAGCAGTTTTTTATTTCACCTGAGATGAATTCTCAATGCAAAGTCAGAAATTGGGACATCAAAAAAAGCCCATGCGGACCACAAATTCATGGCATTTTCAGACTCTTTCTCTGCTTTCACAAAATAGCGACTTTTAATCCTTACACAAGATTAGATTAGATTAGATTAAACTTTATTGTCATTACACAGGTACAGGTGGCAATGAAATGCAGTTTAGGTCTAACCAGAATTTCAAGCAAGTGCAGGATATACAATGGATATGTACTCAACAAATATAGAGATGAACACTATTATAAGCAGAATTTACAGATGGATTTGTCCCATGAATATAATATATAGATAACTAGTATTGTGAACTAAATTTACAGCTGGATATGTACTGAACATAATATACAGGTGGATATGACTATCAATAGATTTTACAGATATGTAACATAACATAATATACAGATGGTTGTTACTATAAACAGAATAAATCAAGTTTGGACAGAGCTAATAAAATTCCAATTTTAGTAACTGAACTTGGTTGTTTCTAAATACAAAGGTTTTTCATTGAGCAGGGGGGAGCTAAATGTCTTAAATGTCTTCTCTCAATCCACATAAATATGGCTTTTGGCATACTTTTATTCACTTTTTATCATGCATGTACACTGGGACGCCAGTTTTTTCAATTAGCCAGGTCAAGGGGGGGTCACCCATCACTGAATACAATTTGTATAAAACCTATCCTTTCTGGATGTTCACACACACTGTTGTGTTCATAGGCTGACCTGTAGTTTTGTTGTTATTGTGAACAGTTTTGTTCCATATTTTTGCTGCTGGAGTTGTTGCTGTCCGTGTCTTTTTCCAGTTTGTTTTGTTTTTTGCGGGTGTTTGTGATTGTCTTCCCCGAAGAGGTCGTAGGAGGATTTTTGTTGCAGCCGGTTGCCGGGTTTTTGTCATCTTGTTCTGTATATTTTCTCTTTCTTTTTATTTTTCTGT